CGCCGCGCTTCCGTCCGCCGCCGGGCTGGGGCGGGCAGAAGGCGGCGCCTGGGCCCCTGGGAGCTGTAGTTCCTTCTGGATTTCTAATTTAAACAAACCCAGACCCTCCACAAATTAGCTTAAAAACTGCGCGTCTGCCAGAGAAGACTTTTCTCAGACGCATTTTAGGCCCCCTCCATTCACGTTTATGAAGCACTGACTATTCTTGAGTCCATTCTGGAGTAAACTGAACCTACCTGTGCAGGTCTAAAGGTCTCCCTCTGCAAGGGCTGTTCCTGCAATCACCTCTTTCTAGTTCAAAGGCACTCACAATGCATCGCCATTTTAATAGAAACAGAAAGAAGATCATAACACCACTGACTCGACTTCCTCCTTGCGAGCCTTTTGGGGCTGCTGGCAGGCAGTGCAGCACGCTCAGTGCAGGTGTTCGGCCCTGTCCCCTAACAGCCACCAGCCACGGAACCAGACCCCTTCCCACCCCTCCCGGATTTGCTGAAGACCCTTCCAGAGACAGGAGCAGGCTTGCAGGAGCACTGTGCGATGGCGTAGGATCCTGGGATAGTGCACTGCCTCTGATACACCTAGTACAGCACTCTCTGTAGATGGTATTTCACAACAACAGGAGGAAGGAGGGAAGAGATTTTACCAGTTGGCATTTTCATCCTTCTGAAAACTAACATTAACATCTTAGTGCTCACCTTGAGCAGGAGAGCCACCCTCAGAGCATCCAAAGTCTCCACATAAACAGTGTTCCTGCTAGGCACTGACTTAAAACCAGAGTCCCTTCCTCCCAAAAAAACAGGAAAAAACAGTTTGACACTGTATTAAGCAGAAATCTTTACATCGTTAACATAAAAATGGCTTATCAATGTTCAAAACACTACACAAGATATTTGATTACTGCATATGTGGCAACTTGGGTCAAAGGTGGAAGTAATCTGAATATGGCAAGACACGTTTTAACAGCCTATGATCCACCATGCCCTCAAGTCACGTTAAAACAAACTCTTCCTAGTAAATAGAGTGAGGGAGGTATGGATCCTTCTCTTTGCACTGATATGCCTGGACAAATCAGGCCTAAACACAAAGTGGCTACACAAATATAAAACTAATGTAAAAGACCTAGGCCAAGCTCAGAAGACATATCCAGAATAACGTTCCACCTGGCTAGAAATGTATTACAGTTGGCACCCACAAGAGCCAGCAACGTTCGGAGCCTGGGGAATTCCTGTGGCTGTCAATAACAGAACAGATGCAGTGACAAGCAAAGGCACAATTACACAAAGGACATGCTGAAATGAGTATCTGGGAATTCCCAAAGATCTCAACTATATTTATTAGCGCTTTGCATAGAAGTCATTGCAGATTAAACATGCCATTCTCTATTCGTAATTTGACACACCTCTAGCTGAAAAGAGGCAGATCTGAGTATTTTCAGAGAATGTGCCCACATTAGCTAGGGGTCAGAATAAAAAGGGTAATGAGCAAGGGCTGAACACCCAACTCCCGAGAAAAATCTACCTCTGGACTCCATGCTGCATAGTTTAATCTCCTAAATGGTGTGTATTTTGTTTCCACTTCTACCTGGGCTTCAAGATTTCCTGCAGGAGATCTTGCAGATCACAGACATAGCCGACAGTTCAACTAATCAAAACTCTGCAGTACCTGAATTTTGCACCACTTTGAGAACTCTGAGTGAACCCTTATATAGGTGGTGGGAAAACACATACTTAGAGCAGCCCATGCCATGGGACACGCTGGCAGCAATCTGAACACAGGCAGGCTCCTCGCATGTACCACTAAACCCATCTCAAGAGCAGCACATGAACAAATCACCCTAAAACCATTATGTGGAGACAATGACAAACCTCCCACAGAAGGTGGGCATAAACAGCTCTCTGGGAAACTGATGTTAAACTGAACGAATAGGTAGCAAGATGCAAATGACTGGGCAGGGATTCATGCCACTGAGTAACAGTATTTCTGCCTCAGGTAATAGTCCTCCCCAACTCTTCTAAGCATTCCTCCCCAACTCTTCTAAGCATTCCCCTTTTCAAACAGCATTACTCTGATGTTGCCTGCTTTCAGCTTAAGCCTGCAGGACTTCAACTCACCAACTTTGCTTTCCTACCAACGTTCTGACTGCACTTTCTGGTGGTAGCAGTTCTGCTGGCTGAAAACAAAACACAGAATTGAGTGCCAGGATTGTTTTGCTATAGCATTTGGCCTCCCAGCCAGGAGTCAAAGAAAAGGGAAGACAGGCAAAGTAACTATAGCTGAGGGTACTCAGAGAGGAAAGGTGATTGCCCCTCACCATTCTCCAAGTTGTGCTACAGAGGAAAGGCAGAGTCAGAAAATTGCAGATTCAAATTCCTTCTTACTTCTCAGTCCTGTGGGAGGGCCGCAAATGCATGCAAGAACATATCAGCCACCCTGCCGCAGGTGTGTATGAGCATACTTTGCTCAGAGCCATTGAACTGAAAGTGTTTTCTCCTTCCTTGATCACTCCATATATCATGACATATAAATTCACAGTACAGCTACTTCCTGCAGTCCTTTAGAGGATTTTGACTGGGTTTTCTCTCTCTTCAGGTAGGTCTTCATCAGCAGGCAATAATGTTAGCTATGGAGGTGGCCCGATTTTAACAGGCAGAACAAAATACCATGCTCACTGAATGACAGGGTGTGACTGACCAGCACACTCCACCCAGTAGAGGACAGCTCAGAGGAGAAGGGCAAGAAACCAATGATCTCAGGGAAGAATATATCACAAAGAAAGCTCAATTTACCTCAACATCAAAGGAGACTGGAGTGTAACCTTAGTTTTAGAGAAGACAGCTGCCCCTGTGAATCATCAGGTTCCCCAAGACAATTAACAAATAATAATGTCTTCCTGGGGTGTGAATACATGGCTCAGCCCAACATAAAAGTATAAAAAAGGGACAACTGATAAAACATTTAAACTTTGAAAAGAGCAATGGGCTTCAGCTGACTTCAACCCCCATGTTCCATCATGACTAGGGATGCCCAATGTCATGGTGGTGAGAGAGGTAATGAGAATCATGTTTGTATTGTGATTCAACTGTATATTGCAATTGCTAAATTATGCTTGTAATTTCAGTATGCTGCTGTATCACTCTACTAAATCAAAATACCACGTAGCACCAAATATACCAAATAAGTAAATTTGATATCCAATTTCTCAGCATGTGGAATATCTGAAAGACCTTAGTCTGAGAGTATTGAACTCTGACACAGAGAAATAGGAAAAACCAGAAATGCTGTAGATTCACAACTTCACTACTGGAGCAGCTGCCACCTTCCAGCAAGTTTCTCCCTGAGGAAGCAGTTATTTTGTTTAAGCTATATTTCCTTATCATAAAACAACATTCACAAACCTAATTACTAACTTCATATCAGGGTCTCATTTATGAAAACATTATAAAAATGTAAATAAATTGTTGCCACACTTCCTAAATGGTTAACCAAATGACAGCCACACAACTGTATCACACCTGCTAACACCTTCTGGTAACTTTTGCCACAAACGGCGCTCTCATTTACCTAGGGCTTGTAATGTCTACTTCTTATTTATGAAACCTGTGTGAACAAAGCTGCGATTCCAAGAATGGGCACTCTCCCTTTTACTTGGAAGGTGAAAAAGGGTAAGGGGAGCAAAATGCAACTGCCAACACATCATGTGGAATTAGAAAAAAAAAAAGTTTCGCTTCAAGAATACAAGCAGGATTGAATAAAGAACCCCTGCTTTATGATTAGACATGGATTTCCAGAAACTACAAACTGAAAAAAGCAGTTTAAAAAGTGTCTCAAGTCCATCCTTTATCTTGTTATAAACTCAAAAGGAAAGTAGCTGGTAGAATGCCATACAGCCCCCACACACTACCTACACATTGCTGAGGATGCAAGGTAAGAAGAGCCTCACTGGCATCAGCTGCCATTATCATGAAAGTCCTGAACTTCTTTCCTACCATCTCTCCAGCTGCTAATGAAGGGATGGATATCAATATGCTACCCCTCAGGGTGGCTGCCGCTGAGTGCTTCAACGAGAGCAAAATAACCTTCTGCTTAAGTAAAAGTGTTCATCATGCTGACTGTCCCTCAGTCAGCTCATCCAAAAGAAAACACACCACAAACAAAGGTGATGTGAAAGCCAAGAGTATTTATTACAAGAGAAACAAAAGTCCACAGGAGGTAGAGTCAGTTGCCAGGAGGAGAAGGCATCTCAGAGTAGTGGATCTAATGGAGTGGGACCTTCTTTCCAGCCGTTGACAGCCATTCAAAACAGACTGTCCCCTAAGAGCTCTGAGACAGAAACACGATTAGAACCCTTACTGTTAAAAAGCTAAACAGTAGTGCTGTTTAGCCAAGTAAATTACTAACATGAAGCAAACCAAATACTTGGAGGAAAAGAACCAAACTTGTATTATCATAATAATAATCTTTTTTTTTTTTGGTCCTTCTGGACAGGGATATTATTTTCCATGAAAAATTATACAGCTTCCAGAGACAGCCAATGATTCACCTCTGGGTAAATCAGTTACAATCTTACACGTGCTCCCTGGAAAAGGAGCTAGCATTCTGAATCTATCTGTTCTTTTCTTCAGATTTCAGGGACTTAAAACAACTCAGACAGATATGGGACTTCCATTGGCATTTCCAGTAACTCTTAAAAATCATACTACTTGGAAGTGCTTCCTCACTTGAAACCCAGACTGAACAGACTCCACTGCTTCTGCAGGATGGACAGCCAGATCTGTACTCCTCCGCAGCCTTACCAGACTGCTACAGATTCAGGTGCCAGGAGACTGATTAAACATGGGAATTCGAAAATTTAGGTCCCATGGCCCCTTGAAGGACTGGGGCTAACTACACAGATCCAGGTAATTTCTCCTGCAAATTCTCTTCCCTGTGGAAGCCCATTCCAGATGTGATTCCTGAGTGTATTCTTATTTTTCTACTTTTCAATTGATGGACTTTGTGGAATTTGGAAGATCAATTGTTTCCGTAGGGTTGATGTTATCTTTGGCATCTGCTTCCATCCATTTAATACTCTTCCTCCCACTTCCTTGTTCACTTCTGTCAGGATGGTTATGAGATCCTTGCGGCTTGAACAAAAATGAAGAAAAGTTACATTGAAATACATGGTACTTGCACAGCTAGGCCAAGAAGCTGATCTGTTTGCTCCAATAAAGTGGTATCTCAGGGAAGACTAGTATCTTCCCCTCACCCTGCCTGTCACTGAAATTGCACACTCCACTGTGTAACCACAGAATTCAGTGTTTGGGGGAGTAAAAGGAACCTACATGTAGCATTGCTTTTCCAGCAAAAGCAGTCCTCCACTTTGGTTATAGTCAGAAGAGCACACGAAGATGAAACAGAACCAAACTTATGCGTTCTCCAAGCCCTCCTCTGGACACCATGAGAAAGTGGTGTCTGAAGAGAAATTCTGTTTTCTTAATCAAGTTCATGATGGGGATGGGAAGGGGGCAACAATGAAAATGATGACTAAAGGACACTGATTTTATTTTTTTTTTGTCTGTGTAATCACTCAACAAATTTGCCTCTCAACAGGTGTCACTGGAAGGAAAAATCATTTATCAGTCAAAAATGTTAAAAAACGTGCACACACACACACACACTTGTTTTTAAGTAACGTTGCAGCATTACAACCCTGGTTTTGTCACAGGCAAACTAGGGGAAGTCACTTGTACTTTGGTTCATCTGTAGAAGGACTACAATGCCCAATTCCAGAATAATTATTGTTCTGCACTGTCCTGCAGGTGACAAGCATCATATAGCACAAATGCAAAACACTCATGTTTCAGCTTAAGTACGTATGTCTGCAATACCCCAAATGTACATGGATTAAAAATTACACTTACAGTGGGCAAAGCAACTTCATCTTGTCACAGAGGCATTGAACATAAACACTGCCAGTCTCTGTACAGCGGTAGCACTCATAGTCTTCCACTGTAGCCATGCCAACCAGAATATCAGCCTGATCAGGAATGGAAGTCAGAGGGGTAGCATCCTTCTCAAGATGGCCAGAAGAGTCTTCTTTTACTGTGACACCTGGATGACCTACAGAGCCTTGGCAAGCCTGGATGAAAAACAGCTTGGGTTTGCCAGCAAGAGAAGGACAATTAGATCCACTGAAGCAGGAGAGTAAGTCCTTAATATTTACAAACTTATGATCAACGCCTTTTATTTTGTCTTTCTCACCATGGGAAAAAATGAAGCAAACAAAACAGTCCATGTTACTATGATCTTTTTTGCTGTATTCTTTAATTTTTGCATACATTTGCTTTGCTTCTAGATCCATGTGCTCAACTGTCTCAAACTGAAGCCACTTAAAGACCCTTTCCACAGCCTCTGGGAAAAAAAAGTGAGAAGGCACTTGTTAAACATAAATAGTGACAAGAAGATGCTGACACACCAGGTCTGTGTGGTAGAACAGATATTAACAGAAGTGTTCAGATCCCACCAATAAATTCACCTGACTGACAGCCTGCCAAATCTAATTAGAAAAACCCAAATGCCTAATTTTGTTTTTTTAAATGCAACTGGGTTAAGCTATCTAAAACAAAAACAGGTTTCAGATTATCTGATTAATCAGTACAAACTAGTGAAGCTTACTGTGTCAAAGCAAGCTTTAACTGTGCATTGCATAGTAATCTCAGATGCTTAAGAACAACACTTAAAGAGTGTTGTTAAGTTAAAGAGGAGGTACCTCTTTAGAATGACAAATTCTGCCACTCTTAAATAAAGTGGGTCCCTCATTCTGTGAGAACGATCAAATGCAACAAAAAGGAAGGCAGGGTAACCTGCTAACAAATGCTATACAGACTTCTCAGCAAATGCTGACTTAATTGTTGTGGGGCAGTGAGAAAGTAGCTGGGAAGCAAGCAGCCTGTAGACAGGCTGGATGGAGTTAAAATATCGGTGATTTGTGCTTTCATGAAACAGATTTTACTTTTTTAAGATAAACTCTTGTTTATCTTAAAAGTGACTCTTGGAGGAAGACAGGCTTTAAGGAAAATTATAAAGCAGTAGCATTTATTTGAGCATTAAATAGAATTTAAGGACTTCAAAATATTACTCCATGATAGCTTAGAATTAAAACCAATCAGTAAGTGAAAAGGTGGAATAGTAATCCCTCCTTCACTATTTGGTACATATGACCAATTAAGACAATGCTTTTTACCTAGAACAGAAAGTGGTTCCTTCTTTAAGCCATCAGCTAAACTTTTGCAAGTGGCATATTTCCAATATGCCTGTCATTCCAGTTACTCCAGAGGCAAGGAACTCAGTGGACATGATTCTTCTTCACAGGAAAGACTAGATAATTCTTTCAGAGAATTATCAGAGAAAAAAACAAACCAGTAATTGGATTTAAAAAGTACTTACCTTTGTCTTTCACTGTTCCTTCTCTGGCTTCATACGGATTTTTAAAAATGTAGTTGTTAAGAATCACACAGTAACCATGGGGGATATTTTTCATCTTATATGATTCCACAAGCTGTAGGAACAAAGAGAGCAGATAAGAAAGCAGTGCAAAGCATCCAAAAGAGAAATATGCCATACTCAGATTATTGGTCCTTCATGTCCAAGCACAAAAAAATCACGAGGGCCAAGATACAAGAAAGGAAAAGCCTAACAATACAAGCTAGCTACATGGGACAGGGATCTGCTTTGTCTCCCTGAATCCGTTCTCCTCTTTCTCTGTGGTTAGGATATGATTTTGGCATGGGAGAAAGTGAGTATCCAGAAACACAAATTTACATACACAGAGGGAAAGTTCCTGCACCCTATCATTCCCCCAAGCGCCCTTGTGGGTTTCTAGTGAGGTAGCAGACTGTGTTGTTCCCTTCCCATCTGTCCAGGAGTACCCTGGACAGAACTTTAATGTCTCAGTCTCCGTAATCATTAAGATTGGTTTTCTTCACACAACCACTATTCCTTCATTTCTCACCTAAAAGGTTGCTGACAGCAGGTACTCACAAAGGAACAAGGCTTTGTCTTGTTTTGGAATTAAGAATTGTTCGAAGGCCTACTTATAAAGCCAGAACCCCTCCCTTTCAGCTCTTCCACCTGCTTAGTCTTAAGAATTTATGCTCCCCTTTCCCAGGAGTTGGATAAATACTTTAAAGGTAATCTTGAGGTATTTCTCACCAGGTGTGGTGTCTCACCCTCTGCTCCTGGATGCACAGACATGGACATTGGATAGTGGAGTTTTTCCTTAGAATCACTTTCTAAGACGGAGAAGATAAACAGAACATTTTAAGACTAAAAAGATAATTCTTCCACTGTGCGTATTTCAACACTGAAAAAACCAGTGCAAGGAGTGAGGTGGATGGTGGTTTCCAAATCACTGAGACACCATCATTTTGTACAGCTGTGCCAAGCAAGGTTCCAGTTTCACAGACTGCTAGTTACTGAAGCTGTGCAGCAGAGCTGTGCTCGATTTCTTCCCTGCTCTTTTACTGGTAGCAAGATCCAGATAATAAAAGGCTGAATGTGAGTAGTCGCTCCAGGCAAGCCGTTCACTAGCATCTCCACTATGGGATACATAAGAGAAAGAGGAGACCCATTTTTGTACAGTGGTACACTACAGCTAGTTCATTTGTTTCTGAGGCCATTGCCTTTTCTCCAGAGAACTTTACTGTTTGGGCAGACACACCAAGGATGCAGAATACCAGCATAATGGAAGATCTCCTCAAAGCAACAAAACACTTCTTTGAATAGAACTGCCTGAAATAAGTGGAGAAATCAGCAAACCCGTGACTCCACCCAAGGAAATAAATCACAGTACCTCTTTTACAGGTTACGCAGATGCGTTTAAATGGAATTTAATTGTCAGGGCAACAAGATCTATAAGACAGGCTCTTTTTCTGCTTACCGGGGGGGGACAAAATATTAACAATACTGCTAAAAAGCCATTCCCCAACACAAGGCTTGCTTGCTTACACTAGCCAACCCTGGCAATTTTTTTCTGCTCTTTTAGAGACACAAGCACAGGTCAGCAGCACAAAGACACGCTGGAGAAACTATCTGGTATCTCTGCAGGGAACTGCATGGCCTGTACAGATGTGTCTAAGGAAACACACATCCCAAGTTATCCAAAAGGAGGTTCTGGGGAAAAATTTAATAGGTCTTGGTTGTTGTTGGTTGACACATCCTGTTTCCCAAAGAGTAAGGCCCAGCTGTGGTGTCACAAGTCACCATCTCAACCGCAACAGCCCAGATATACTGAAGTCCTTGAAATTTCACATCTAGTACAGAAAGCTAATGGTTACACTTTAGCCAAGTAATCGGTCTCCAGAGACTTTTCCTTTGACTACAAGCAAACAGCCTGGCTAACAGAAAATAATGCTGACAACCTCTCAATACAAGTTTCCCCAAGGCAACTGTCACCTCCAGTCTCTTTCGGTGACTAAAAAGCTATCCTGGTCCAAAACCAGCAGTGCACTGTTTCCTGAAGAGAAAAATTGCACTTAAGGCAAAGAGGAGGGAGAAGCAAATAATTTACAAGGCACAAAACATAGTTCAAGGAGAGATTCAAGAAGGTATGATGGAATAACGAAGTAGCAGAAAACTTCAGAAACCACAGGTATCACGAACTGCTCTGTCTATCCTAGAATACTGTAAAGTGTCTCTCTCACCTCTGGAATCCTACACATAAAAATCACAAAAAAACCCAGCTCTACTCTTAAACAGCAGATTAAATAATTTACCTTTTTTTTTTTCTTCATAGGTATCAATTTTTTTCTTTACGTCAGCTCTAAATCCCTTTAATATATATTTCAGCATTGCCAGGTCATCTTCTTTAATTAGCCCATTTCTTTCCATTTCCAGTAAGACCTTCAACATCGACTGGTAAAACAAAACCACATAACCCAAATGCATACAGTAACCTTCAATAACTGCAGTATCAGGCACTTCTGGACAAAGCAGGAGACAACATCCTCATTCCCAGAGACTGACCAGCTAAAGACCAATTTCTTTTCCTCCAAACCTCATTAAAACAAGCATCAGGATGCAATGCAGCTGAAAAAAACCACATCAGTTAGATTAAGGCATATCATTAGAAATTGCCTATGGCTAGGTTATCCTGCTTTGTTTCAGCAGTGCAAAGCACTGATGTGGATAACAACATGGCATCCTGTTGTGCCTCTGTGTTCAGATGAAGTGCTGTTAAGTCATTTAGCTGAGGCATTTTGCATTTTCTATTACTGAAAAGGTGTTCAGGACTAATTTTGGTAGAGGTACCACAATACAAATAGGACTTTTAAGGAACCTTCTTAATACTACTAAGCATTTTTATAACACTATTCACTATTTACAATACAAGTATTAAACTAGCTCATCAAACCTCTTCATACTTTTGTGGAGGAGTTAACAAATTGCTATTAGCCCAAATTACAATAAAGAAGAAAACGTACCCAACGACACACAAGAATTTGTGGTTGAACTCACATTAGAACTTGATTTCCTGTCTCTTAAAAATTGTTTTTCTTCCAGCAAACATCACTCTTCCTAGATACCACATATATACAAAAGTCTTATAAATGCCAAGCAAAGATGAAAGGAAGAGCATGATGGATTTTGCAAGAAGAAAACATTAGGGAGACAGATGGTGGAGGAAAAATAGGAATAGGAGAGCAAAAAAGGCCAGAGAAGAGATACAATGAGAAAAAAAAAGAGTCCATTCTTTCACACAGCAACTATCAGCTATTATCATAATTCTTTTAACAGATTTTAGTGAGAGCAGACTGCTTTCTCCTTCCTCCCTTCTTACAAGAACTAGCAGACTCTGAACTAGCCTTGCTAAAAACTTATCAAGATCACTTTGCATACAGCATTATCCTGAAGCTTGTTCTTTGGTATTCGTTTTTGGAGCAGGAACTTCACGCTCTTGACATCTTCTGGAGTCAAGTCCTCTGCAATTCCATATAACAGTTGCCTGGCAATAAAGAATAGAGAAAGACTGATTAAGAAAGTTATGAGAAGTAAACATTACAAATTTGAACTGCAAAACGTAAAACTCACAACGGCAGCAGTCATGCTGTAATAAATACAATTATGCTGGGATATTCATAAGACAACAGTGCAGACGGAAAACAAGACAGTACACAACAGAACAGTTGTACATTTTGCGTGCAAAGGTTTACCACTTCTATGCTTACCTGTAGGCTGACACCCATGCCCTGCCTGGGATCTGAAGCTCTCTCTCCATCTCCTCTCGGCTGGAGCCCAGCTGGGCTTCCAAGAGGTCGATCCGACTGATCCGATAAAGCAGCTCCTTCAGGAAGGACAGGTTCCCTGCCTCGACCATGCCTTTCTCCTGCAGCACTTCGAAGAATGCCTTGGGCTCCTGGATGGCTTCCAGCTTCCTCATGGGAATGTGCTCCAGGCTGAGGAACTTCAGAGCTGCCAGTTCATCTGCGACCAAAGCCTCAGAAATGTCAAAAAGGAGTTTGTGGAAGTCTGTACTCATTTCACATCAAGATTTGGATCTAAACACAAACAGAAGTTGATTTCATTTGTCAGTAGTGCAACAACATGATTATAAAAAGTATGACATCGTGTAGAATAGCCCCAAATAAATACATGCAATCAAAAGCACTTCAGTAGAGAGAGGCTGTCTTGCAATTGTAGCTTTGATACTTAACTCTTTCGGTTCTCTCGAGTTAACGAGGAATATAAAAAACTCCATGCTAAGTGAAATTGACAGAGAAAGTCACGAATCGTTCTTGTTTCCTATGGTGTGTCTAGACTGCAGGAAGTACCGATGTACAGGACGTACAGTCCTGGCAGGATGCTGCTGTTTCGCTTTTGTTTTGTTGAGGTTTTTTTTTTTTAGGTTTGATCCCATTTGGAAGCAATAGCCACTTGCAAGTCTGAAATACAGACTATGTAGTAAATGAGACTGCCAGGTTTTACACCATAACAAAGATAAAGGTTTTTCACCATACCAAAGAGAAGAATCCACATGAGAATAACTCTTGTAAGCTATCTGGCTTCTTTCTTTATACACTGCTTCTGATCCTGGTCAGCATAGCCAAAGCACCTCTTCCTGTTTTGGATTATCTGGATCAGGTAAAACTCAGTTCTCAATCAGTGTGTAATATTCAAATCAAATACAGATCATGTCAACTCTTTTAAAAAGGCCAGGAGAATTCTTGTCAAACTAGTTGTGTTTCACAGAGCATCAAATACCACCTCTTTTCTACACCACTTCCCCCATCAGCTTCAGAAACATTAATCTTGGCTTACGAATCCGACTTTTCATCACAAGTTAGAAAATACCAAGTGCAAGCCCTCCAATTATCTCACCCTGACAGAAGAACTGCCTCCACTGCCTCTCTGGTAAGAGAGCCATTTGCCACTTTATTCTCTCTGCCTTAGATCTAAAACACCGAGGAATCTCTGAAGAGAAACTCTACAGAAATTGATTCAGTAGAGATATCTTGTCCCATTGAACTCACTGGGAGACATAAAAGTTGACAACAGCAAATCAGAACTTCCTACTTCTACACTACTAGAATATTAGGCAATCCATTTTAATGTTACTGCAAATTTTTCAATACCAGAGCTAATAACTCCAAGGTAGCCCAAATGATTAACTGAATCAGTACTACTGTAAATATTTAAAAAAAAAAATAAAATAGCAGACAATTGTACTCCCCTCTCCTCAAGGACCACTCTATAGCAAAGCAGCTTTTTGAGGCATACCCTCAGTCAGCATTCTGTTAGTTAGCAAGAGTGAACATACAGCTGAATCTTAAACCTTTGTCTATCAAAAAACCTGATAAAACAGCAAAACATGTGTTGTGATACAGCATGTACGATTCATGCTCTGCCCCCAAATACTGTTTTCTTTAAACCCATTCAAACTGAACTTTTAAACAGACTAGAATCCATACCATTCAGCCCATATTACCACAAAACCACTAGTATCTGAATGAATCATATATGCTTAACCTCATGATTCAATGATCTCAGATCTATATTATTTTTATACCCACACGAGAAAAAAAATATTTTCTTGGTAGCTAGTTATGAAGTTATCTTCTTTCTCACATAAATCATGCCTTTTGTTTAAGATACAAGGCATGTGCTTATAAAAGTAAATCTTTCTGGTAAAGGAAATCTTCATTTTATTTCTCAAAGGCTCTAAGTTTCAAACCTACAAAATTACTACAATTAGAACAGATGTGCCACCTACAGACTGTATTTAAACCTGCCTGTAAATTCAGGGAGCACGCTAAAACAATGTTTAAGTGTTCTCTCTTTTTCTTCCACTTTACTAAATTAAAGACACAACTGATACAACAAGCAAACTGTAATACTACTACTACTACTACTACTGATACTACTACTATTTTTTTTTTTTTTACATCAGGAAGAAGGACAGGCTGGAGGACTGCTGGAACAACTCTTAAAAAAGTGAGACAGCCATAGTCTCTAAAGTTCCAGGGAAAAGTACTGCCTTTTGTACTATGGTCTATATTATCACATGACTTACAGTAAGTACATTATAACAAAGTAATGTTGCAGCAGTGCCCTATCCTACCTATCATGGTTCCAGTTTCAGGAAATTAATTATTACAGTGCTTGTAAGAAAAATTGGTAAACAAGCCACATAAGTAACCAGGTTTGGCTTTTATTTTAAGGGGACACACTAAGCAGCATAGTCAGGACTTTCTAGCATATGGCACAGCTCAGTATATTTGCTCCCATACATAAATCCTAATTAAAAGACAGTGAGGGAAGGGTGAATCAATTATAGGGTGTTCCCATACAAAAATATATCAGCCTCACTGTCCTGCTGTGTCACCAGATCCTCCACAACTCACCTCCTTTCTCTGAAGTCCCTCTCCAACTCACCCAAGCCCATTTTTAACATGCAGTTTGCACGGAAGATTATTTCCTAAATCAAAAAAGTCTACTTTCAGCACTGAATTCAGTAGCAGTGCACAGTGAATACAGGGAACTGAAAGGCTAAACATTCCTTTGAAATTATTTATGTAATATACTTCCCTATTTACAAAAGAATTTAAGCAATAATTAACTTTTGGCATTTTCACCCTCTTCAAACCATAGAACTCTGCCTTCAGCGGTAAGGTTCCCAGTATGGTCTGCTGGTCACCAGTATCTTCCTTGCAGGAAATACATGATCAACAATCAGTACAGCTACGAGACTCTCTGAAGTCAGCGTTATGAAGACAGTCAGTTAGAAGAGCCAAAATTTGTTAAAATTTTGCAATGAAAACAATAATGCATTGATTTCAACCTATCTACCTTCATAAATGCAAAATTATAACATACCCTTCGATTGAATGAGGCATATAAATTCCTTCCAGAAGGCACACGCTAGTAACAGTTCAGAAAACGCGTCTGACTGGCATGAGTTATCTTTTTATCCAAAGGCTGGAAGCAGCCGAGATGGACACCACAAGCGCTATCTGATCTTCAGGTCCAAAATGGTTGTGTCTCTATGTCATTCCATGCCTCAGCGTCTGTCTTCCTGCATCAGCTCCTCTGTGTCTTAACTGAATCAAGACTCAGTTGCAGTTTGAAAGAGGAAGCATGCTGTGACCAGCACTGTGTGAAAAATATTTGCAGAGACCAAGCCCAGGTTGGCCCTTTCCAGACAGAGGCTTCTCCCATCATGCATCAGTTTCAAGGACCAGCCCTCCTGGCACTGTTCTTCCTCTTTGTCTTTACTGTTTCACTTCTTGTTTCTTCCTCTCTCGCCCTTCCCCAAAATGTTCTTGTCCTTTTTTAACTTAGTCTCTCCAATTTCCCTCAGCTCCCCTACACCATGGTTTTGCCCGTCCCGATTCCTCTAGAACTGTCTCAGTGACCCAATCTATTCCTTGTGCAGCAGCCTGCCAAAAATTCATCTCTCCCAGAAAGGCTGGTCTTGAGGAAGCAAAAATGCTGAGGCTACTGACCACTCAGCAACTGTAGAGACTGTGGCCTCTACTGGCATAAGGCAGGATACACAGCTCCTGTGACTTGTGCATGTTACAAATCCCACTTTAAGATCACGATCTTCCCAAGATACCAACTTCCCCAGACTCTTTTTACACTAGTTCCACTTAAATCTGTCTAAACATGAGTTGCACAAGTCACAACTCTTCTTTAATTCTGTAGGTGGAGAGCATGCACATCTTCATATGCTTCTCCATGCCATCACCAGTAAGCCTCAACAGAAACCAACCACATTTTGTTTGTCTGTTTGAGGCCAATTTCTTTCTGGCGCAGCTCTGTATTACTAGAGTTACACTAAAGGTGTACAGCATGGACAGCAAGGAGCGACCAATATCTAAGTTGTATAAACCCCACCCACTCTCCCCCAAGAATTTCAAACTGCTATCTTACAATACACCACAACAGATCATACAGAAACATCCAACAATCTTGCTGAATGGCAGCTGTGCTTATAGTGCTAAGCCTACCCTGCCTCTGGGCTTGTGCTGACAAGAGTACCACTGCGTGGACCCAAGTATTACAGCGTGCAACCATATAAGTACAACCCTCGACACACACAAGCAAAATATTCTCACTGAATAGTATAAACCATGCCAGTGTAAGCTGTGTTTGAACAAACCTTATTATGAGTGAGGGAGACTTTACCAGTCTTTTATACTTGACAAGTGTGGATTTCTCTCCCCAGGGAACTCAAGACAAAAGTCAGCTTAGACTCTTCTGACCACCTTTACCTATCTATGACTTAACTGGAGATTACCCAGGCAGAAGTCTCTAAAGAGAAAACAAGATAACATGATGATGTTCTCTGTCTACCAAAACTTAAAAATGAAAACCAGATCCTGTAAAACAAGGTCAATATTCTTGTCAATGTTTACTCCATACTGATAAAAATTCAATTGTTATATAAACATACAAAACAAAAGCGCACCAAGTCTGATCAGTAATTGTTGAGCCAGAAACTTCATGATTCTATTACAGTATGTTACATATTCTACTAACAGACAAAACATTTTCTATCTGTGGAACAAACGTGACTTCAAATGTGGCAGCCATACTAACTCAGAAGACTCAAAATGCAATGGGTCACACAACTACCAATTCATCCTGATAAAAAGTGACCATTATGTTTTGGCAAACTGCCATACATGCTCTGTATGATGCAAAACTCCTCTCCTAAAAATCCTGGATAGCGCAAGCTAAAAATTGCGTCCCACAGCACTAAACAGTACTCTTTCAAATCTTCACCCAACTTATGGTTAGTAATCTTATGTAACAATCAATGCTTTTCTGAAACAGTTTCACTTCAGCTTAAACTCTGAGGCAGCTAAAACCCCACTGATTCTTGCAGCCCAACAAAGTGCAGGGCCAGTCAGAAACAAGGATAAGCCTTACCTCAGTACACAATTTTTATCTCACCAAGCTCTTAAGTATGAATTTAATGCAGGAACAAACAGGAAGGACACAGACATACATAATAAATGCTCATAACAAAATGACATTATTTCACTTAACTCACAAAATGTTGTGTTAGAAGCCTTTGAGATCTTCAAACAAGAAATGATAATCAGAAAATTTAATGCTTAAAAAAGTTAGTCAATCTGATAAACCTACAGATACACTGCTGAATGCCGTACTTCATAGCATGCAAATCTTCTACCCTAACTTTTCTTCCCAGAACTGATGAGGAAATGACAGTTCACAGGGCTTCACAGAGGGAATACTATGCAGCATTTTGGCTTTACTCAGTTTTGGAAAGATCTCATTGTACGTGAGGTTTATGTTAGACGGTATCGGTGTGCCTTGTGGAACAAATTACTGATTTCAATAGTTAACTGGTTCTCCATTAAGTTAAACATGATTTAAATTAGAGATGGAAGAAATCCTTTTCCACATACTACTTAAGCTTTCTCCTTTTCATTCCCACCTCTTGTCATTCTTTATGAACATAGTGGATTTAGAGGTGGGATTTAAAATTGTTAGCCTGCAAAATAAAACATGATGAGGCTAAACCAGACCATTAACGATCCTGGTTTAGATATGGAAGGCTACATGCAACCCTTATGGTGTCAGGAAAACACTTTCATATCTGCAGTCTGTGCAGGTACACAATCCTTTAACATGACAGAAGCATGCTTCTCTCAACCCTGATAACTCTGAATATATAGAAGATATAAATAGCTGGCACATGGATTGTTTTAATTGTGTTTCCTCCAGTTTTAGAGTTTGTTTGGCAAAAAAATTCTGAGGCCCTGCCTTGAAGCTAACAGTTCCTCAGGATTCTGGGTAACTGCCTTACAACAGGCAGTGTGGTAAATCGCATTTAAATGAGATGTGCTGATAAAAGGATGTATTTTAAAAGCCTCAATGTTGCTGTGAAGGAGGAGGGTCTCTAGGTATGGGAAATATAAATTTTCTTCTTAAGGTATATGCTGGTTGGGGCATCTGCTTCTTTGTCCCCAAGCGGTCAACACGTTTGCCCACATCTTCATTAACTTCTGTAAGAATTGACAAAATATCTTCACCCCTACATCCAGAAGGAGAGCAAAAATAAAAAGACTTATTAATGAGCAGGCGGCACTCCATTTAACACCTCCCACATCATCTAGAAGAGTCAGTATAAACATTTAAAACACAAAAAAGAAAACACATTCTTTTCTCCAAATTTCTCTTCTTTTGTTCTTATTTGAGTAATATTAAAAACAAAAGACCTTTTCTTACTCTGCCTTGCTTGATTTAACCAGTAAAGAAAAATAACGGAATAAAATATTTTTACCTAAATCCACTCAAGAAAGAGATGGCTCTGCCTTAAAGCATATAGATGGAAGGTTTTGAGGTTTTTTACAATAAACTTCATGTTCTCCAGATTATATCTATGGTACTAGCAGTGTTAATGTAAATTTATCAGTAGCAAGCAAACAAATCATCAGTTAGTGTTCCTATGTGAATTTGCCTTTGGATTAAAAAAAAAGGGGGGAAGTTCCTCCCATTTTTTCGTGGAAGAGCTACGCAAAGTATATACCTTGGTACCAACAACTGTAGCTTGCTGCACAGGGCCTGAATATACCAAGTACCCTGTTGAACGTGCCGGAAAGAGACATATCCGTCAATTGTGGCCATGCCTAGGAGGAAATCAGCCTCTTCAGGAATACTTTCAGAAGGAGAAATGTTCTGTTGCATGGAAGACAAGTCAGGAATTTGTGCATCAGCTTCAACATAGACAGGACACTGTATGTCTTTACCCTGGCATGCTTGGATAAAGAAGAGTTTGGGTTTTTCAGCCAGCTGTGGACATTGTTTGGCAGTGAAGTGGGACATGATCATGCGGATTGATACAAGTTCCTCATCTTTCCCATAGATTGCTCCTGACTCTCCATGAGATAGAATACAACATATAAAACAGTCCCTGTCTTTGTGATCTTGCCAACACTGCCAAGTTCGCATGAGTTCTTTAATCTCCTGAGCCGTCAGATCTGTGTAGGTCCTCACATCCAGACCAAGCCATGTGAATACTCGCCTCAGTTCCTCTGTAATTAAAAGAAAGATAAAAGCAAAAATTGAGGCAGTAGAAAACCATTTAATGAAGTCACTATGCAAGCTAATCTGAACCAGGAAAGACCTTACACCCTGACACTTCTGCAGATTCATCCTTATACTAGTATCAACTAAAGGTTAACTGGAATAAAAAAAGATGTCATCAGCTCAAACACAGAGTTCTTGGATTTTTCTAGACAAGTTTCAGAAAATACAATGACATTTTACAATGCATAATGACACTCTAAGTGACACCTGAAAATATGAGGAATCCTCACACCCTGAGTTTCAGATTAGATCTTTCAAAACCTTCCTCACATCTTTATTTTCAAGTTGCAGTTTTGACTATTAGAGTTTCATACACAAGAGATAAACAGAATGAACAGAATAAAATAAGTATGCTCAGAGTTGCTTGATTATGGAATTTTCCATGATATCATGTAGAATGATGGTTTATTTTACTTTTAGTTCTTTAATATAGCTATAGATAAAGCCTAAGTAAAAAGGGATTCTTAAAATGATTCATCCTTTAACCCTTCCTCCCCTAGGATACACAAAGGACATAATTTAACAGATATCAAACATTTTACTCTAAGTTATTAGCTAAGTAAAATATACACAATACAATACTAAGCAATACTAGACAATCAACTCACATGGGGAAATAGAGAGACTAATCCTCCAAAAATCTCACTTCAGTAACTTACCAGCATCTTTGCAAGAACCCTTCCTCTCCTGAAGAGACCTTTCAAAGTTAACATTATTAATAACAAGACAAAACCCTCTGTGCGGTCCATCCATTTTGTAGCTTGTCATTTTCTGTAGAAAGGAGAGGAAAAAGGCTTACAGCCTCAATGAATTTATTCAACTTACTCATATTTCCTTAACATGTCTCAAAATAGGCAGCCAAAAATTAGAGGTATCTAAGACTCCGCTTTAAAAAGTGGAACCCAACAGTGCCTCCTTGTGTGAAAAATCATTAGTGAACCCTGAAGCACACCATCACCATACTATCAAACTGCAGAGGAAAGGTTTAGCAGCCATGTTGGTCATCTGTATGCAAAAGGGAGGATTCAGCAGCCAAACTCTGCAATCTGAATTGGTGATGGGGATAGAAGTCCCCAACTGTTTTCAATGTCACAACAATATTTTAACCAGATGGCAGAGGGTTCACGGTGAAACTATACGATGTTGGACATCTGAGATTTTTTTTTCGAGAGTAGTGATAAATACCTGGAGCAGGTGGTTCACACTTATCCACTGGAAAGGGATGCAAGTGGAAGAGAGATCTCAGAAGTGTATAAACCTGCCACACTACCAGTTTTGCTAAGACTTAACAGTTACCTTCCACTCTTAAGAAAGAGCATTTTAGAAACTAAAAAGTCACCAAAACTTCAAGTACCATCTCTTCAAGTCCAACCTCGGGTTGAAATCAAAAACTCCCACCACTCCAGTTCCTTTCTGCTCACTAGAGAGAGCAACAAACACTTGCTTTTGTGCATTTTAGTAGAACAAAATGAAGGCAGCACTCCAAGTGCCTTCAACAGCACCAAGAAGTACTTTTGCTACAGCAGTCTGAACATCATGTGATAAAAGGACAGGTTATAGCACAGAACTCAAAGAAATTAAATAGCGATGAACAACTGCAGCAACTTGCTCAATACTCATCAGAAGGAAAAAGCCAGAGGGACAACTCAGTGGTTACACTGCTGTACAAGGTTAAAGAGTGCACATAAGGTTTCTACGAATGGATCTCACAAGAGATCTTTTCTCCTGTACCAAGAGCTGTGGTTTATTGAGGAAGATTGTTACATGCCTGCAACAGCTTACTAAAAACTCTTGCCACTTTTAATACTTCTCACAAGGTCTTTGCATGCTACCCCTTATCGCTTTAATTTCAAGATGCCCTGAAGCTTTTTCTAAGCCGGATCCAGGAAGATGGAACTGTGAAGCTGTGTTTGTCTCAGCGTCTTGCACATTCTGCTGCCATCTCTAAAATGCACAACTTAAGAAAATGCCAAACATTTTGCCTGTATCAGGAAGATAAGCAGATGCTCTGATGTGTGGATAACATCACAGGTATTATGCCTGTTTTGCCTCCACCACATCTTTCAATATTGGTAAATTTCTGGCCTCCAAGGTTAAAATATTCCTTGAAACATTCCAGTTGATCAGACAACTCAAAAAACTTCAGGAGACACACAGACATCTCACATGTCTTTGCATGATAAATGTCATTACAGGGATGAAGACCTCAAACACCCAGGTATTCAAAAAGAAGGATTTAAGAGATTGTCTCAAACCTTGGATTCATTTTCTATATTGCTGAATTCTCCAGACAGCTCCAGCTTCATTTCAGGGGACCATTGTAAAAGATTAGCTGCTTTGTAATCTAAGAAAAAAACCACAAAACCAAAAACCAGCAGATATTTATGAAGAAAAATCCAATATTGGTGGATGTAGCAAAAAGGAGTTTAGCTACAATACAGCACTTTTTGTATGTGAAATACTGTTTCACTGAAAGGAATAATTCCTCCATATGAGACAACACTGTCACGTTCAAAGGATTTATTCTGAACATGCCTCCAGTTATTTTTATTATATATATTTTTGTGACAAAGACAAGGTTTCTATTTGCATTGGTATTGTGGAACAAAGGTATCCATGGTACAAGGATAGATCCTACCTGAGACATTCAAATTAATTTTTCATTTGGAAATCAGCTTAGAAATAAACTGTATTGTAAGAAAGATCTGCGATGTTACTACTGAAGTTCCCATTATAGATTTTTTTGTTGTTGTTCCTGAATCACTGATAATAACTCTCAGACCAACTTTCAGAGCAAGGCTGCACTGACAGAGCCTGAACATGGAAAAGAGCTGGCAGATGTTGTACTGCTACACTTTACAACTGGTCAATTTGACATGGAGCCACAAAGACGGATGCAAACCACCCCGTTATTTCTACAGAATCTTTTCAGAGATCTGATCCAAAATGTAACATGATTTACTGCTCCTTTATTTACCTCTTATGAATGCCCTAAAATGCTTGTCTCCTTTTGTATAATCATACACTATTTAATGCATTCAAAACATCCATCTCTAACATGCAACACTCCCAGGCTCTTCAACATAATGATCTATACAGCAAAAGAAGTCAGAGGTAAAATCCTGTACCCAAAAAATTAACATCCAGTTTTATAAACAGTCATAGTGTCCCATTCTCTTGTCCTCCCAGGGATATTTAAACGGAAAATTTGTTTTTTGTTTTCAGGAAAGAAATAATCTTTTTACTTCTAATCAGACCAGTCCTTATTTCACTTCCCAGAAAGCACACTAGTTAGTTGCTAGTAAATGATTGACAAAACACACAGGATTTGCCAATTTTCTCTTGCCTCTTTTATAGAAGAACAGAAATCCTTCAAATCTATTTGTGCAGAAAGCTAAAGAGCCTTCCAATAAGACAGCAAGGTAAGTGTGCTGCATTAAACCAAATGCTAGAAATTTCCCAGAAAAAGTAAAGGAATGCAACATTAAACATAAAGGTAATAAAAACCAAACAAATTTTCAGAAATTCTTACCATTGATATTAGAATTGACAGGTTTGATTGAGGTCTCCTATTTTTTGAGTGGGGGAAATACCATATTAAAAATCATTATTATATATAGTAAGTTTTCATAGTGATTTTAGCAAAATAGGCTTAATACAAAGCTCTAAGTAGTGAGTAGGAAAAGTATTGAATTCCTAAGAGCAGCAAACATTTAATAATGAAATTACAAAAGACTTCCCAACTTACAGCAAATCTCACAGAGCTGGAAACAACTATATTTTCTCTTAAGGATAAAGGAAAACAGCAAAGAATTTTCTTTCACTTCCAAATGATCCTCTCACTATAGGGGTAGGCAGTCACTATAAACAAAACAAAGGTCCCAACATAGTCCCATTATCAATTCTCTTGGATAGTCAATTATTTGAGTACAAAAAATCATTATAACCAGTGATTCTAGTCCTGCCTAAGAGACATCTTCTAGCAGTAAGTGTCAAAGGTTTATTATATAGCATGGCAAAAGTGTATAACCTCTCATCATTTTAAAGAAAAATCAAGCACGATAATCAGGATTATGGAAACAGTCTTTTTTTTTTAAAATTCTTCTAAATCTATGTTTTCTTAATAAAACTACATTCATTTTCTTACTGTGCCATGAATGAAGGCTTCCCCAAACCCTCTACATGTGTAAAGCAAATACAGCTCAAAGCAGCAGTAATGCAAACCCTTCTGATAGTAGCTTGTTTTCCTCAGCTCTTGTCTACTAGAACTTCACTTCTGGGAAGCATCCTTAGAAAGATCGCTTGTTTCCCTCATTCAGAACTGGGATAAAATTCCCTCCCTTCCTCTCTTCTTCCCCAAAAAAGAGATCAGTTATAGTCTGATAAGTTTCCCAATCTGATTCATCATGCAGCTGCAGGAGGGGTTTAACTGATCAAGGACTGGTACATTGAGAAAGTGGGACCGCTTCCTTTAGCTGCAGCAGTTTGAACTGATCCTCAAAGTATGGTGTTAGCCTTTAGAGATAAGTTTAGTGTTGATCAGCCAAAACCCTAAAATCAGCACCGACTGACCCATTCTTTAGAAGGCACCCGTCTAGCTTTTTCTCTTACTCATCCCTCTTCCTAACATTATTTTCCCCCCAGTTGCATGTGACAAATAGTAGTAATTTTTACTTCCACTATTTGATACTATACGCAGCTGTATTTCTTCCATGCTGAACAAATATACTTGTTCCCTTCCTAAACCAAGTAAGATTTAGAAAAAAATCTCACAGTCAGCACAGTTTCAAAGTAGTGGCAAGACAAAAAACCCAACCCCTCAAACCACTGAAACCCAAGTTGGCAGTGTGTACTCCAGTGTACCTGTGGGGAAGAGAATACTCTGATGTGTCCAGTGTGAGACAGTGAAGATTCCTTGACTGGCACACTGTTCTCCTGCTGAGGCAGAGACACTAAGAGCAGAAAGAGACAAAATGAGAGAAGCCAAGTGCCTTTAAGTTAAACTAGTACGGATCTGTACATTAGGCAAACGTGGATTTATATTTACTGAAAGATGTATTAGAATAGAAAGAACTTTGAAACACACTCAGAAAGCATGGGGGAATGGAACTCATGAAACGCTGAGTGCCCTTGCACCTGCTAAGGAGACGTAGCTTTGTACTTCCCAGAATTTGTTTCCCAGTGCTTAAATAAATGGAAACAGAACTTTTTCCCCAGTATGCTTATAGTCGCTCCATAGGACATTAAATGAAGGAAAATTACAAACTGCAGTATAACCTCTGATAACATGAATCACACATTTAGTAACAAAGCCTACCATGTAACAGACACACATGCACATACAGTTTGCCTCACCAGCTTATCAGCAGCTAACTGCCTTGTTGTAGTGCACATTCATAAATCACAAAGTGCCTTTTACAGGACAATCATCACAATCTCAATACTATTCATGAGGAAATGGAGACGTGTGACGTAACTATGGATAGCTTTTCAGTTTCCCAGCCTGTTCTGTATGTGCTGGACTGCTCTGTGTGGCCTCAGATACCCAGGCATACGTCTACTGGAATTCAGCTAGGAAGTAATGCAAGCTAGGGACTGTTATGCCAAATTCATGCAGGAAGATGAGCAATCCCACTCTAACTTCTGTTCCAGCAATGCACACATAGGACCTTGAGGTTCAGTTGCCCTGACCCTTCTAGTGCTTCCTGCGTTTTTGTAAACCTACTCCCTGACTCTTGAATTTCTCACCTTTTGCCCTTTTGTAGCAGTTTACTGTTTCCAGGAGATCAGGTGAAACATTCATACAGACTTCTTCCAGCATCTGTACATTGTTTTCAGTTAAAAGGCCTTGTTTTTCCAATAAAATCAGCAATTCCAGAGCAGACTGCATCCAAAAGCAGAGAGTAAAATATAGTTATTGTTCCTTAGAACTCAAAACCTGCCTCAGCCCTGTCTGCCTCAAACAATCACATTATTATCTGCTTTGCTTCCTACCAACAAGGTCCCAACAGTCAATTTTACACCACTGTGCGAGGCAGAAATGTTACTCCATGGAAAACTACTGGTTGTGTTATTATTTGGTACGGTCTTGTTTAAACAGCTTCACCGAAACCATATTAATGACTCTTGGCTCGAAGAAGGCTTTATTGGTATGAAACAGTACCAGTGACATACGGACATGAATCTCCTTTGCACATGGCTCAAACAGGGCGAAGATTTGATTCGTCACCCTTTTATGATCTAATGGAAGACTGCAGACTGTCAGTGACAGACCCTGGTGCAAAGCACTAAATTCCATGCTTACCTGTCAACAGCTTCCTCCTTGCTGAGCCTATAAATACTGACTAGCCCCGTTGCAGATCATGCCCTATCTGCGAAATACTTTCCACGCTTTTCCTCCTATTTCCCCCCCTCTTTCACTTCCCGCCATATACGCATTTGGCTCTCTCCTCACATACAAGAGTTATCCGTCGCTTTGGAAGACAGTTTTGCAGGAGGAATATGATATCCTTCAACATCTCATCAGTAATGTTCTCTGACAATTCATACAGCATCTGCCTGTAACAGAGATCCAGTGAGATAAAAGTAGAACAGAAGACAGCGTAGAAACTAAAAGCAATCTGAGAATTTAAAAACGGAAAGAGAAACTGTATGGCATAAATGGCAGTAATGGAGAGAACAGAATCCCACTGTAAGCTTACCTATATGGAGACACTCTTCCCTTTTCATGCAGGCATTCTTGCACTTTCTCCTTGGTATAACCAAGTTTATTGAGCAAGGAGTGACATTTAATTCTGTATAAGAGTTCAGCTAGTAGGAAAGTATCTTCCTCATTCAGATATTCTTCAGCCATGAGAAGCTGAAAGATGTCCACTGCTGACTTCACACCTTCTAGTTTTCTGAAGGGGAGCAAGTCAGTACAGAGAAATTTTAAAGCTGCTACATCTTCAGACACCAGATTTTCATCAATAAGGAGAAGCTGCTGACGGAACTTCAAGCTGACATCATCCTCCATGTTGCTAGAACCAACAGTCTCTCTGCCTGAAAATAGAAAGCAAATACTAGTAACACTTGAATTTTCAATACAACAATCCTTGTAATCAGATTTCATCCAACAACTGTTTGGAAGCCCTGAGTTCTCTGCAGAAGTTTTCCTTGAAATAAATTTGAAACTTACTTCCTCCTCCAAACACAAGACTACAACAAAGAACAGATTTGGCAGAAGCTCTGAATAACCCAGTCTAAATTTGAAGTTAGCCCTGCCCTGAGCAGAAAACTGGGCTAGATGACCTCAAGAGGTCCCTAAGTTCTTCTATTTCTTTCAAACATATTCCACGTTCAAATCTTTGCTTCTCTCCATTGTTTGTATGTGGGAAGAATCTCTGCAGTAACTTACTACAACTCTCAGTGGAGAGAGCACAGTGGTTCACACACTTTCCTTGATCTGTAGTTTGAGGGCTCATTCTTCTCTGGCTGTAGCAGAGAGGTGTTCCTCTGTTACAAGCCTGACACCCAAGCTGAAGCTGTGGAATATCCATCCACTCCCAGTCCTATCTTGCTACCAGACTCCGTTTCACATTTGGCATAAGAAAACCCTAAAGCCTCCCTTAGAAGTAAATGCCAACTAAAATGTAATAGCGCTCAGCAACTCAGTTGCACAAGCAACTCAATCGCACAAGCAACTCAATCTTAGTGAAGTTTAGAAGAGACTAATCACACTTCCACTACACCAACTTCTTCCATGTAGCCTAAGCAGTTCTTTTCTGCCTGTGGAAGGTTATATAGGTTAAAAGGTGCTTCAGTGTCTTCTGCTCAAATGGGCAAGTAGGTCTTTAATCTTTTGTTTAGAGCAGCTGGAAGCAGCAAACATTTCTACATGAGGGAGCACAAGAAAAATTCAGGGAAGTGGACTAGGGACAGAGCCTCTGAATCCAAAGCCTTTGAAGCATCTGGGAGGACAGCTCAGCAGATAAACCACAGAGGATGTCATAGCACATGGGGGCACAGACGAGAGACTGTTGCATTTTTGTGTTCAGTGGCAGATAGAAAATATAATCCCCAAGTCCAGATGCCCAGTTAGGAAACAAGGTTTGACAGAACCCAGGGATCCTAAATCATGTCTCATCCCTAAGTCACAAGTCAGAGTCTGTGCAAAACAAACAAACAAACAAAAAACCAACCAAACAAAAAAAAGGTCAGATTGCTTTTTCCTGCTCAAACTTACTCTTCCATAGCTCAATAATCGTTCTTCACGTTCCTTCTCTCCGCATATGAAATCCCATGTGTTGTGACACCCTCTTCACTTAAGCTGCTATCAAAAAGTTTGAGATCTCAGCCAGTTATCTACACACAGAAATTTTATCACTTCACAGTAAATCAGACTTTAAATTCATTTAGCTAAAAGCTACTTTAAATCCTATCTACATGCTTTAGTCAACTAAATTTAGCAAAATAACTTGGGTTAAACTGACTCCCGCCTAAACTAACAAACCTGTATAATCCAGGTTAAAACTGAATTATGACAATTCAGAATTTAGAGCCAATGATTTCAACTAAATGAGTTTAAAAAATCATTGCTTTAAGAGAACAGGGACAAGTTGTGTGTATACCAGGTGTACATCGTAATTTCATCAGCAAATCAAACTGAAGCAAGATTCAGCACAAATTCCTTCATCTACTTTTAAAACAGTTTTCAAGTCTGTGTTGCTGTCATTCTCGGAAAGCTTTTTTCACTCTAAAGATTTCCTCGAGTTTGGAATACCCTCAAGACCCCTCAACGTGTGCTGCATTTACCAGCTGTCTGTAACCTCTCTTCTCCACCTCTGTAGAGGGCAGGCTGGGCTGGCCCTCTCTCCTAGCACTACAATGAAAAGAAATATTGTCGGCTCACTGCCTGCTCAACTGCTGCTCGGCTTACTGCTACGGTGTTTTTAGAACTCTCTACCACTTCATGCATTTTACGAGCTATTTATAAAACATCATGGTAAAAAACGGAGTTCTAAAGCAAAGAAGTAAAACGAGCAAACAATCCCTATTCCAGTAAAACAAGATGATGCTAAACACGCAGCACTAACACACACGGAGTCCTGGACCCACCCACTCCCCAGGTTTACGGCGACTCTCCCTAACATTTATAGCTAGAGCTAGCAGGACAGCAGCAGGCACAGAAAAGTGATGGATCCGCGACTCTAATTTATGTTTTATGATATACCCTTAGAGAAGGAAAATTACATAAAATTGGCAATAAAGATTATCAAATTACTTTTTAAAAGTTTTATTGATTGGGGCACTGCCAGACTAAAAGATTTAAGAACAATGCAAAAGCACGGAGCACGAGGAAATGCCGAGGCTCAGCACACCGCCCCACAAGCAATGGGAGTATTCAGTTCCGGCCCGGCGGGCAGCCCAGAGGCAGCTACACGATACTAGAAGGAAGTTTTTGATTTAGGCTCCGGACGCGGGAGCCGACGCTGTCTTTCGTTTCCTCTCCACGTCAGTCCCCCCCTTTCTTACCTCTTACGTGAATTCCGACCCCGTCCCCTCTCCCGGCAGCTTCTCTGGGGGCAGCGCTCAGCACTTCTCATTTCATTCCCGGCCAGTCACGAGCCCGCGGTGCGCGCCCAAGTGCTGAGTCATGACGCCGGGACTCCCTGCGGG